TATATATATATATATATATAACAAAATCATTAGCAGGGGTATATCAACTACAAATAAAAATCTGATTCAAAAATTTTATCAATTTACCTTAACCTGCTAACTGTACATAATATTAGGTATCACAAATTTTATTAATTTCTTTCCTAATGGTTTAGGGGAAAAATCTCTTCTACTGATGTGTAGAGGATATCAAGATTTAAATTATCATAAAGTCATCATCATTAACTTATTTTTTATAAAACAGACATTCCTTGCTTAATGACAGAGTTCCATTCCTGAGGCAAGGTTGTTAAATGAATGGGTTGCTGAATAAGGAATTGTAGATATGTTACAATATTCAGAATATGGAAATGGTCAAAGGAAACTCCAACTTGATGACTTGGCTTTATTTGCATAACTCTTAATGCAGTATTATAATGTATAACAGAGTATAAAACTACACTACTGTATTGTACAATAGTCAGCAAAAATTACAGTACTGTATAAACAAGATGTACTGTACCAAGAAAAGACCGAGGCTCCATAAACAAGATGTACAAAACTGTACCAAAAAAAGATATTCAAGCTAACATTTTAGTCATTGAATCCTTCACAGTCCTCATCAGTGTTATCATCAGAATTATGATAAGGAGATGTAGAAGGCCTGGGTAAGGGAGAAGATGAAGTAGAAATGGAAAAACTAGTAGTAGAGGTCTGGAATATAGTTTTCAAAAGTGTTTTGTTGCTTTTTTGCTTCATAAACTTCACGATACCATTGTAAAAGTTCACTTATTTGCTGTTCCACTTTTGTGAACTGTTCAACATTTGGATCCATAGCCTCTAGTTCTAACATAGCTGCATTTGCTTCTGAGAACATACTGTATACAGTATACTGTGGACAGTATACTCACTGGAAAACCTATGGAGATTTCATGCAAAGAATTGAATATAGAAGTAGAAAAAGACACCATAAGGCCACACCACCACTCACATTCCTATGTTTTAAGTCCAAATGCAGGCCAAAAGTCTGAGTGGTGGGTTGTAAGTCTGAACAGTCATTAAACAGGTGTCATTAAATGAATAATGTCTTTATTGGGGATTGAACCCAGGGCCTTGAGTGTGCTGGGTAAGCACTCTACTACTGAGCTGCATCCTTTTCACTGGTTTTGGGGGGTTTTGTTTGTTTTTGGCAATGCTGGGAATTAAATCTAGGGCCTTGTACATGCTAGGCAAGTGCACTAATATGGAGCTAAATCCCTGACTCCCTAAAATTATATTTAAATAATTCCAGAAACTGTCTTTGCAAGTTATTTGTACATTCATTATTTTTAAAAATTATTTACTTGTGGGGCTAGGGATTTAGCTCAGTGGTGCACCGCCTGCCTCGCAAACGTAAGGTCCTGAATTTGACCCCTGGTACCAAAAAATAAATAATAAATAAATAAATAAATAAATTACTTGTAAGTATGTGTGATGGTTAACTGTGTCAACTTGAGTAAGAAACACCTAACTAAATTATATCAGCATAGTTCTGGGTGTAGCTGAGGGAATTTACTAAGGATAGAAGACTCATGCTGGATGGGTCTTGACCTCCTGATACAGACTTGCATGGGACACTAGTGTGAGCTCCAGGCATCCAATTGGATTCTTTGGATCTCCAGTGTGAAGACAGCCCTTTTGCACTTTTCCTTACCTGACTCTGTGGGGAGGCCTTATAAGCGCATCTTATAAATTCTTATATACTTGTATATCTTGCTTTAAATCTGTTTTTCCAGTAAGTATTGACTTGCTTAGAGGTCTTCCAATTAACTAGTTACTAAGGAACACTGTTATTCTCTTTGGGGTTTTCCAGAATTTTACTCATTTCTTGAAGTTGAGAGTTTCATAGAAATAGCCATAATTTGAGAAAAATATATTTACCTTTGCAAAGAAATAAACATACTCCAATTCTTCTACAGGCTTAAATTTGCCCTTGAGATAACCTAAGTAAACTTGGAGTAAAGAGGTGACCCATACCACCTAGTGATGGCCACTGGCCCACGCTGAGCCTGCTCTGCCTTTTATTTCCTCTTAGGGTGGGGCAGCAGATGTGCCAGTGGAACAACTGACTGACCTGATCATAGATGAGACCAATGCCCAGGGAAAGAAGGTAAGGCTGGCAGCACCAGGGAGAAGACCAAACCAGACTGGCAGCATTAGCCCCAAGACAAGCCCACAGCTATTGTAAAATGCAAAACCAGCATAGTGTTTTACTCCAAAAGTGACTCCTTCTCCACAGCAGGCTAGAATTGGAGAAAAAATACAGTGCAGCACCCACCATATTTCAGAGAGTTTAATCAGGATCCATTTTGGGAAAAGGTTAATTGTTAAAGACTGAACCATAGAACAACAGAACAACTTCACTTCAGGGTTTCCAGTGTTACCTAACCACAGAGACAAGGTGAGAGATAGCCACAGAGACAGTAGCAGAGATGGTGCAAGCTAGACATAGAGCACCTGCGAAGTTTAAATTCAAGGCAGGAAGGACATGGGGCCTTGACCTCCTTGTTGAGAATTCAGATGTATCAAGTGTGGCTTAAAGTGTGGTTGGATCTGAAGATACTGGCAGTAAGTCTAGCAGTCTGCTTGAACACCTGTCCCACTACCTACATTCAGTACAGACATCGGTGGTCTGATTGCTTTCCTCATGTACCAATGTGAGCAAGGACACACCTTGGCTTAAATAGTTGCAGGAGTCTAGGACATATAGAGGGACTTGTGGAGAAAGGTGGCACCTCACAAACCCACAGGCCATAAAGTTAGGTGGAGAAAACCATGACTTGCTGGATTACAAGACTTTAGATACTGCAAAAAAACCCACTCATTCCAAAATACAGAGGAATGTTTTCTGGACTAATTTCTTACTCACTGGTTTTGGCAGCTTGGCTTTTTTCCCTTTGTTTTCAATTTTTATCTCTTAATTAGTACATATAATGCAGTATATGATGATTACATTCCCCACAGGCAGTTACTACATGTACCTAACATATCTCAGTCATCTTTTGATCACTTCTCCCCTCTCTATCTCTTGGCCTCCTTTCCTTTTGCAAAAGATCCATCCTTTTATTTTATATTATCTATTTTGCTCCTTATATTTTGGGGTTCCCATATGAGAACCATGTAATATTTAAGCTTGTGTGTCTCATTTATTTCACTTTCTCAAGATTCATCCATTTTCCTACAAATGACTGAAGTTTATCCTTCTTTATGGCAGAGGATTTCATTGTATATAAATACCACACTTAACCATTCATCTATTGATGTCACATAGGCTGCTTCCAAGATTTAGCTATTATGAGTTGTGCTGCTATAAACATGGGTACACATGTATCACTGTAATATGATGTCTTTAACTTTTTTTTGGGGGGGGGGTTTGGTACTGGGAATTGAACTCAGGACCTTGCGCTTTTGTGGCAGGCGCCGGGACCACTGAGCTAAATCCCTGGCCCTGATGTCTTTAACTCTTATAGGAAGATACCTAAAAGAATAGCCGGGTTGAATGAAATTTAAATTTTTAGTACTTTGAGGAATCTTCATACTTATTTCCATAATGGTTGCACTAAGTTACATTTTCATCAACAATGTAGAAGTGTGGCTTTTCTCCTGTAGCCTAGCATTTATTATTTGATTTCTTGATGATAGCCATTCTTTCCAGAGTCAGATGGAATCTCAGTTTTTTGGGGTTTTTTTTGGTACTGGGGATTGAACTCGGGTTCTTGCGCTTGTGAGGCAGGCACCAACACCACTAGGCTAAATCCCTGGCCCTCAGTATTGTTTTAATTTGCATTTCTCTAATGCCCAGAGATGTCTAACATTTTTTCATGTTTTTATTTGTATTTGTATTATATGTATTTATTCTGAGAAGTGTCTATTCATTTCAGTTGTTCACTGATTGGGTCTTTTATTTTGGGGGGGTCTTTATATATTCTACATATTAGTCCTCTGTCAAAAGTAGAGCTGGCAAAAAGTTATCCCATTCTGTAGGTTGTCACCCTCTTCCCCCTTTTTTGTTTTTGGCTGTGCAGAAACTTAACTTGATATGATCTCATTTATTGATTCTTGATGTTATTTCTTGTGCAATTGGAGTTCTGCATAGAAAGTCCTTGCCTATGTCTGTTTTATCTTTCAGCAGATTAACTGTTTAGTTTTAACATTTATTGATTTGATCTACTTGTACATAATGAGAGATAGAAGTCTGATTTTAATCTTCTGCATCTGGATAACCAGTTTTCCTAGAACCATTTGTTAAAGACACTATCATTCCGATCAGTAATAATTCATACCCTTTTTGTGCTCATTATATATTTCAGGAAATTGAACTGAAAGCTGCACATACAAGGGACTTGCTGGAAGCATGGACCTCAGCAACAAATGGGCTTTGGAGAAAGGAAGCTGGTTGTCCCATTCTGGAATTCATCATTTTCTCAACACGAGAAGAGACAGTGAGTCTGTGAACACCTCTCCTGTGCCTTACAGCCCAGAGGAGTTAGAGAAGCTGAGCTGGTCCCAGCACCTGGAAGGAAGCTCCCCCACCATCCCGTGCTCCTAGGGCAGAGAAGGTGAGCTGTACAGGTGCCAGAAGCACCCCGTACCACCCGTGGAAATGAGAAAACATGTAAACAAGCCTCAAAAACAGACTTCCAGATCACCTACAGCAACCCCAAAAGGAAACGAGATGGAACAATCTGATACTCAACCACCTGGACCCTCTCAACTGGAAACAAAAGAGGATCTGAGAAATATGAATTCAGAAATAATAACTCAGATAACAGCAAAGATTGTGCTCATAGTGCAAGACATGATTA